CACACACACACACACACACACACACACACACACAATTCAATTCAATAATTTGGAAAACAAATAAATGCAGTACGCACCTTAAAAGCAACATGGCGGTTGGTCATGTTAGTTAGCGCAACTGAGCATGAGCTTTGCTTCTTCAATTCAACTACGAAAACAATTACACAGTCAGTTTACAATTCCCAATTAATTGGTAAACTAAAACATATCCTATTTCAATTCGAATATTACCACGACCCAGCAATACAATGTTTACATCTAGCTACGTAACAGTAACCGTTTGCAGGTACAGATTAACAAGAATCTGCACAAATCTGCTCAATATTCATAGTTTCAAAACCAATGCTCCATTCGATATGGAAAAACTAGAGAAGAGCTAAACTCATAATAGAAGGCAAACAGTTAAATGATTAAAAGAAGAACTAACAAAAATGAAAAATTACCGCTACATTTTAGGTCCAACTATGCGGGTCAACTAAACGAAATCAGCAAGCCAACAACACCAAAACGTTATAAATTCCAAAGATGATTGTTGTGGCGATCGCAAAGATACCAGATCATAAAGAAAATGATTAGCATTGACCATCTACCAATAACGAACTTACATAAGAATTTCAATTCTTTGGGCTGAATCTCCAAAATTTGCGTACTCATTGTTGTCTCAACTGCACAACAATCCAACGCTAGATACTGATATCCAAATCTCCTTTTTCACTGCGTAGCAATGAAATGTTCAAAATATATTTAGAACTTAAAAATCCGTACACAATGCTCATAATATGTTGGTGATTGACACACCGTTTGGTTGCTGAGAAAATCTTAGAAATGAAAATATAGTAATTGAGTATATGACTCAAATTATTGAATCCTTGGGACCCAGTAACATTAATTAACGAAAATAAGAGAGAGACAGAGATGAGGAAAAAGAAAACCAAAAGTAGTAAAAAGTTTCATGCACTAGATCCGAAAACCAAAAGAAGTCATGATAAAGTTGTCGGAAAATCAGAATCAATCAATTTCCATTACCGCTTTTCTCAGCAACCAAACACAACACAGACCAAAGATCAAAACACTAACACCGGGTCGAGGGTTTTGACTTGTTTCTCAACTCGTACCGTCAAAACGCGTCACCGGAACGACGACGTGATTAATTTTCTTTTTCTCAAAACCAAAGAACCAGCTCAACAGTGTTTCATGTTCAGTCTAGACGAACTCAACTCAATTCTGAGTCGTTCTCCAAAACACAAAAAACAAGCAGAGGAAAACGAGCTGTAAAGGGACGACGCCGTTTATCGCATCTTCTTCTGAAGAGAATTGTGCTCAGAATACTGGTGGGGATGAACTTCAGAGACGACGACGTTTGGATCAGAGGGAAGAGAAAACTTTTACCTGTTTGGAGAGAGAGAACCGGAGAGGAATTGAAATGGAGTGGAAATGTCGCGTTTGGATGCATATAATAGAATAGAGAGGGAAAGTTTGATAGAATCGATAAAAGTCAAGCCCTAGATTCTAGAGAGAGAGTATACGTTTGGTGGCCTGAAACATTACAGTGCTAATATATTGACGGGAGAAAGTGAAAGGCAACTAACCAAACCTGCTGCTGGTGGCGTTAGTTGTACCCGCCGTTAGGAGTTTGGACGACCCGCTTTTCTCCAATGGTCGGGTTTTATGGAATACGGGTCCCTCTTTCTTGATATTTGCCCCTGCCTCACTCGGGCGGGTTTAAATACGGGCTGAAGCCCAAATAAACAAAAAAGACTAACTGGGCCCTTCTTACGCCGTCAGATTCCAAAACGCCAGTAATGAAAACATAAGGGAGAATCAAACAAGTGCCGGCCCAATTTTTATTTTTATTTATTGCTAAAAAGACAATTACGATTTATTCTTCATTTTGTTGCAAAATATTATGTATTTAAATTTCATGAAGGATAATTTGCTGTATTGTTGAATCAAATAAAAATAAACTTATGAAGGGCCATAAATAGAGAGGATTGATTTGAATAAAAATAAATAAATATGAGGGATTAATACAATTTATGCGTGCGTGTATAAAAGTGTAATTGGAGATCAAAATCGGATGTTTAGTTATAACTAACTCATTGGCACGCTTGTGCCTATTCATTTTTTAATTACATAATTAAGAAAGATAAAATGGGTTGTTACATAAAAATAAGACCAATGTTCTGATTCGTTTTTTTATGTTAAATTTTGTTAATACCAAAAAGTATAAATTGATTATATAATCCTCATTCATTTAATATTTTAACTTCTTAATATTAGTACTAACTGAGGGTATTTTTTTTGGTATTTTAAATATTTCACCATTCTCTGTATATACTTTATATATATATAGATTTCAAAAATATGCAAAGAGAAATTGAAGCAAACCTAAGGAACTAGGAATGCAATAGCAAAATTATATTAAGGAACCAAATTAGACGTAAATTTCATTAACATAAACAATTAAAATTATATCGATGTGTTTAATATAAACGATTATGAGAAGGGGGTTGTTGAGGCCCAAAAAATTCACGGTCGGGCCCGAATAAATT